CTTTTCAATATTTCCTAGGATATTTCATTTTTTTCTGGGAGAGGGCTGGATGATAACTTCCCACAATAGCTTCCAGGGAAATTACATTTGTGAGAATTTAAACTCTGTTCATCAGTCTTTAAAAAGTAAACACTGGAGCCAATGTCCAATTTAATGAGATCTTCTTTGACTTAATTCTATAACTTAATTCTATGATTTATGAATTAACTGAATTTGAATACATAAATCTTTTAAAATGCATTTTTAATAGAAGGATACATTATTGATAGACCTCTTGTGATAATGCGCTTGATTTTATAAATTTCCTATCTGATTTAATGAAAGATACATCTTAGTTGATTTTAATGTGTTAGCCTTACAAATTAGACTTCAAGAGACTATACATCCTAGCAAATAGAATTCCACAAAATGAATTTTTTTTGGTAAATACTTGCAAATTGTCTTTATAGTAAATGGATGCTATTGCATGGCAACTATTTTACATTGTAGTCAGGCATTTAAAGTTGTCCTGGAGTCAGATGACCTATAAATATTGATAATGATGATTATGATGATGATTTAAATCACTTCATAATTTTCCTGATGGAAACAAGCTTTCTTTCTCACTAGTTTCCTGGTGCAGGGAGATCAGCAAATCAATTTTCATTTTTAAAAGGTGAATTATATGTACTGTACTTAAAAAAATAGAAGCACCATATTTCAAAACATCTCTTCAAAACTGTATCATAAAGGATAACAGAAGCATGTAGTTTAAATCTTACTTGGTTTTGTTCTCTTTGTATAATGCAGCAATTCCCAACTTTGGTGACCTCCAGGTGTGTGGACTTAAACTCCCAGCATTCTCATAGGTAGCTATACCAGCTTTGCAATTCTGCAATTTAAAATCTCATAAATGGAAATGGCATTGAGAAATGCTGGCATAATGTATAACACTGAAAAGAAGCTGTATATTTTGCAGTTAGGAGTTTTTGCATGCTGATTTGGCTGACTATTTGAATCTGACTATTTGTGAGCATGCTTGCTGGAAATTCTGTGAAATTCAGAAAATCCAGACATCTTAACCTTACCCAGGTTGACAAATATGATACACCATGCTCACATCTGTTGAGTAAGGGATCATAATACTTCCCACTTCTCTGTTCTTATGTTCCTATGTCTCAATCATCTTGCTAATAATAAATGAATCCCAAAACCTCAACTGTACTTTTTTGTCCCAACTCTGTATTTGAATAGAATAGAATAACAGAATTGGAAGGAACCTTGGAGGTCTTCTACTCCAACCCCCTGCCTAGGCAGGAAACCCTACACCACTTCAGACAAATGGTCATCCCACGTCTTCTTTAAAACTTCCAGTGTTGGAGCATTCACAACTTCTGGAGGCAAGTTGTTCCACTGATTAATTGTTCTAACTGACAGGAAATTTCTCCTCAGTTTTAAGTTGCTTCTCTTCTTGATTAGTTTCCACCCATTGCTTCTTATTCTACCCTCAGGTGCTTTGGAGAATAGTTTGACTCTCTCTCTTCTTTGTGGCAGCCCCTGAGATATTGGAATCTTTCTCACTTGAGACCTTCCTGCTCAAACTATATATCAGAAAGCCTGGATTCCAAATGTGATAAAAAGAGTAGAATATATGGGGCATGCTGGGAATGAGAGTTAAGATTTTTCTCACCTTCAATAACACTTAAAGGTTTGTGTCTTGACAGCAGGACACCAACAACATTGCCTTATATAAATTCTAGTACTTGAAAGGAGCAGGAAGAAAAGAGGGAGAGAAAAGAAAATAAGAGGTTTGGAAATCATAATCACATTTACATTTGTGCCCTTACTGGGAACTAATNTGTTATTCTTCTAGTATTGATAATTGTCATTAACTTGTATGTGTTGAAATCAAATGAAAGCTTCCATACACATTACAAGAAATAAATGCACTGGAAAAATGCCCTTCTTTTTTCTGTTACCTCTTTGCCATAAAACATCTCACTTGAAAAGCTCTGTTTAATACTTCTACATTTCTACTTTTTATATGTCTTGCTTTGAGACTACCCAATTGTGAGAACCATATGGAATTATCTCTAAGTAGAGATGACTATTGTTAAAAGCAGATTCTTTTACTGTGGAAGTGGAAGAAGCTTTGATTTAAAATTCCTCTGCAAATTAAAATTAATGGTTAATGCCCTGAGTATTTTAGAATTTGAATTCTTTTTCTAATAACAGTAGTGATGGCCTTTGTAGGAGTAGTGGCAGAACTAAAACAAGTGATTTATTCTCAACTATAAACTTTTAATTTGAATATTAAAGTACAAGATGACTAATATTTCCTTGTATCCTGCATGTCAGGAGGGGTATGTCATTGTATAAAAAGATAGAAGAAGTATTTAAATAGGAATCAAAATATCTATAAATTAAAACATCTGATTGCTTTTCATAGTGGAGTATCTTAATTTTAATTTCTAACTTTTTTTCTTTTAGATTATTTGCCCAGAAGTTACATATCTTTCTGATTGTGAGAAGAGTCTAATACTTCTTCCCAAAATATAGTCAAAGATTGAGTTAACTTTCTTCATATTAAATGAAAAAAACGATGGCAATTTCAATATTCACCGAGTTATGAACAATGTTGAAGTGTTTATTAAAATATTTTATGCTGATTTTGCTGATTCAAATCTTTTTAATTCTTCAGAATTGGGACAAAATAATTTTTAATTATCTACTTAAAATCTCAGGAGATTTGGCTGTTGCATTTTTGCTTCACACACTACTTTATTTTATAGTGATGAAAGAAATGTCCTTCTGGGTTCTGCTCCAAGTGGGGAAGAAGACACTGGAGACATGGAGGTTGCTTGGAAAGATGGTTTATTGTTGGACAGGGCCACATGGCTTGAGCCCTGNAGCTAACATAGAAGATAGTAGTTGTTTTCCTACACTTGAAAATGATTGTTTTATCTTCCAGCTAAAGAAGGAATCTGGCAGTTTACTCTTGTGTTCATTTACACTTTGGCTGTGTTATTCTTCTAGTATTGATAATTGTCATTAACTTGTATGTGTTGAAATCAAATGAAAGCTTCCATACACATTACAAGAAATAAATGCACTGGATTCTGATTTTTTTTAAACTGTTGATTATAAGAAAACTACATGAAACTCTTTGAGATTAGAAAATAAGTAACATGAATTACCGGCACATCTCTTTAAAACCAACTGTTAAAGTACTCCTTGAAAATATATTGGACTTTGAAAGCCATGTTTTACAATCATGAGGTTTATATAGTTTTAAACAGTGTCCTAGTTCATACTTGAAATTCAGAGCATTGTCAGTGCTAGAATTAAAAAGAAGAAAAATAAAAGTATTATGTTTACATACAATAGTATTATAAAAATACAATAGTATTTTTATATTTCTTCTTTTAACTTAGAAATTATTAATGTGTATATAAAATATTCAAAAGTAATTTATCTTCAACTATTGCTATTTTCTGCATGTTTGATCTATTCATGGCAGTTGAAAACCTGATGACATACAGTACAACCTTTATTTTTACATATCCCATTGTCACGTAAGCTTTTATTTCTTTGAAAATATTCACTGCTTTTCTTTAAATGGCACTCAAGAAAGATGAAAAACTACAAAGTGCTAAAGACAAGGCTGCATGCTGTGTTAATATTAAATGCCTTGCATCACAAGGTGAGCAGCATATAAATTTTGATAAACTAAACTATACATCAGCTTTTTTGCTTAACTTTAGAATTAAAGAGGGGAGAAGTTTGAGATTTTAAACTGACTGTTCATTGTTGTATGCTGCCTGGAACCACACTATGTGACAGCCATATACATTTCTTTGAAAAAAACAAATAATGGGTTCTTACTGAGAATTCTCATAAGGGCAAGAAGTCAGAATAGTGTGTAAAGAAGGGAAGGATACTTGGATGGGGACAGTGCTAAGCCTCCCTTAGGCATGAAAGTTAACTGGATGACTTTGGACCAGGCTCTCAACCCAACCTTCCCCACAGGATGATGATTGTAATGAATGTAGATAGGGCTGGAAGAGACTTGGAAGTCTTCTAGCCTGACCCCATGCTCAAGACAGGAGGCCTTAAAACATCCCAATTAAATGGTTGTCCAGTCTGTTCTTGAAACTACCTATGATGCACCACCTATAACTCTGATCCCTAATCCTCTTCAATAGGCTAGACATACCTCCCACAACCATTCATCATACAATTTAG